AAGAAAGGGAATTAAAATGTAAAGGTCACATATTGTGCAAAATACTCTTCACCATGTTTTTCTAACACTAACGTGTCCCTAGTCTGTCTACAAACCCCCAAATTATGAGAAAAGTTCATCCTCTCCGTCTTTTACCTGCTCCACTTTTCAGAAAATGTGTGCTCAAACAGGTTGTTTGGAGATTTTCCCTTCATGACATCACAAAGGGCAGTAACCCCTCCCACAGGTGGGTGACACGCCCACAGCTAGGTGTGTGTTCTGCCCTCTGAGTCTGCCTTCTCAACGTAAACAATTGGGCATGGTGCAAGAACGCCCAAGCCACCAAAGCCCTTCCAGAGAGGGGCGTGGTCAAACACAGCTCATTTACATTTAAAGCTACAGACACAGAAACAGCCTGTTCTGATCAGGGCTGAAATAGAGGGGTTTATATACATTATATATTGGCAAGAAACTTCACAGATATGTTTTGGGGAGCTTTGAGACTTATTTAAACTTGTTAAAAAGTAGGATAATATATGACCTTTAATGCTTGACCTCCATACAGTATTTTCTTTTTTTTTTAAAGGAGTGAATGATATAAATACAGCACAAACCTTTGGACCTGTTTTCTCCATGAAGCCTTCCCTCATGAAGTTCCGGGTCAGTTTGGGCACCAGCTAGAGAAGAAAGGACAAAAGAGAATCACATGAATTAATAGTATTACACAACAGACATACTGATGACCTAGAAACAATATTTACAAGTCCTGTAAGTGTGTGATAAGGTCAGTCCTCCTTACCTCCTCATCACTCGCTCCAGGGAAGGCTACCTGTAGGTAGTGGAACCTGGCTGCTCTGATAGAATTGAACCAGTCCACCATTTCCTGAAAACAAACAAAAAAATACTCTCAGACATCTACCACGGAAATTCACACAGCATCTCTTCATACTTAAGAAGTTCTGGCACTTTTTGTGTCTCTGATAATGTAGGCGTCTCTTCTCAAAGGGAAGATAAAGTGAAAAGCATCTGTGCCGTATGAGTGCTGCAGTGATGTCGATAACTCTACAACAGAACAAAAATGAAGGGGGCACTGAATGAACCTGATGAACTCTTTCTGTCGCACACTTCAGTAACACAACTCAGCCAGCAGAGGGAGCAGGGATTTTTCTATCTCAAGGCTCCAATCACTCTCCTGAAACACTCCTTGTTATTGTTTTTGAAAGAAATCTGTTATCTCTTATTTTTACTTATATATATATCTATATCTATATATATAGATATAGATATATATAGATATAGATATATACTTTAAAATATGCTTGCACATCCCTGACAGCTGCCAAGCACGATGGGAAGACGTTGATGTTGGAGGGGAAATGTCATTTCTCCCATTAACCTATGATGCAAATATTTTAGCCTTGTGATTTTATTTTAATGTTTATTGTTTAATCACCCGAGATTTTACATTCTGAGGGCCAGATGGGAAGCTTTGGGGGAATGGATGTGGCCCACTGGCTGCCAGTTGATGATCACTCCTGTTACCGTTTGGTAAATGGACAGTACATATATAGACTTCTTCTCGTCTTCAAACACACAAAGGCAGAGGATACTATGCACAGTACCCATCAGTATTAACTGATCTCATTCACACACAATGCTGGCTATAACACTCAATTTAGGGTTCACTGTCTCGCACGAGGACAGTTCAACTTGTGGACTGAAGGAGCTGGGGTCGGACTACAAACCTTCAGATTGTGAGTCAACCAACTCTACCAGTGAGACAAAGCTGCTCCCAGCACCTCTGAGGGGCTTACTCTGACATGTTAGGACCCAACAGATTAAATGTTACTCATCATTTACTAATCATTTTGGGGCTCTTTGGGCTGTTCACACCAAACACTAAATAAAGTAGAACTCTCTGCTTTAGATAAAAGGATAAAACCAAGACATACATTTTTCAAATCTGCATTTCTGTCAGCCAGGTCATGTTTAGTTGAATTACATGGGAATTTAAACCTTTGAATTAAAGCAACAAAATTGCTGTTTTCACATATGCACTCCTGAACATGTCCAGATAATTTCAGGAGGACTGCTCCGGATATTCTCCTGACCTGGGTGTTCACACATGCTCCTCACAGCAGGAAACTATCCCTGTCAGACAGGAGGGGGGGGTCTTTCATTTTAGATTGTTTTTTAATCTAAAATTAAAGACCTGGAAGCAGATTGTAAAGGATGTCAATGCTTTTAGGTTGACTGCCCGATCTACTGACTTCCAGATTTGATTGATAGATGGTACTTTTTGAAATTATTTTAAAATGTATTTTTGGGCTTTTGATGCCTTTATTGTAGAGAAAGGATAGTGGATGGAGTCAGAAATCAGGGAGAGAGAGTGAGGAATGACGTGCGGGAAAGGAACCACAGGGGGGATTTGAACCTGGGCCGTCCCGCTTGAAGGACTACGGCCTATATACTTGGGTCGCCACTACGCTACCGGCGTCCCACAGACATTTCTACTTTAATGCAAATTTGAATGTTTTGTAAATTGAGTTTCTCTCCCTTTGTGTCTCTGTCTGTAGCTTTTTGTTTTTGCTGCTTATAGTCTTGCACAGGTCTACCTTGGAAAAGAGGTTCTTAATCTCAGCATGTCACTGCTCTGAAGATAACACTTGACACAATAATTGTTTTAAGGGTACAGCATTGTGTACAAGCAGTTTGTATGACTGTTAGAAAATGTTTGACATCAAACCTTAGCATCGCTGTGGTAGACGAAGATGTTCCTTGTGCTGTTATCTTTCAGGTAGGTGATTTGCAGACCACAGGGGTTGCCGATCTTGGCTGGTTGGAAAGTGGCATTGAGGGTCTCAATTTTCATCACTGCTTTAGGATCCCTTGCCTTTATGGAAGAGAACATGAAAGCCATTAAGATCCAGTAAAATGATATAAAAGTCTCTCATGCCTGAGTAAGGATCTCTAACATGAAGTGAAATGTCTCTGCTCTACACACCCTTGAAAACCTGTAAAAAAGCTGTAGCGTCTCACTTACATCCTGCTTGTTGAAGTATTTTAGTGCTCCCTCTCTCTCAGACAAGATGAACTTTCTGCTGAGAAACTGACCGTTGTCTCTTCCTCGTTTCCATAGAAACCCCTCTCTGTACCCTGCACAGTGAAAAAAAAAAAAAGGAAAGAAAGTGTGATTAGAGAGAGCTGGCATCAAACACCGGTCGAGCAGATGAGAGATTATAAACAGTTGGTTTTTCATAATGGTAATGATGAGCTGTTGTAACACGTTGGTGTAAAATTATATTTCAGTTATTAGAAAAAGCAGTCACTTGATATCGCATTTACAAGAGGAAGGGAGAGAGAGACACACACACACACTACACCATATCAAAAACAAGAGAGGGCAGGAGTAAGCAGGAACTGCAGCATGAGACAGCACTAGGATTTTTTTTTAAAGTTGTTTATGCACCAAAAACCCTTTCCTATTTTTATAGGTATTCTACTTTAACGCCTGTAATGCTTTCTTCTTCCTCACTCTCTTTTGGTTAAACTATCTGCCTACACTGCTGCCTTACTCTCTTTTGAATTCTATTTCCATCACAAGGGGCGGCCACGGCCCAGTTAATAGAGTTGGTCGTCTCTCAGGGGTTCGATCCCCAGCTCCTGCATCCACATGTCCGATGTGTCCCTGAGCAAGACACTTATATCCTCCTTTTCAACCAGTTCAACAAAGTCTCAGTGCTCCCCAAAACATGTATGTGGAGTTTCTTGTTATAAATCTACTCTGATGCAGTTTTTGAGCATGTCTATAAACCCCTCTATTTCAGCCCTGCTCAGAACAGGCTGTTTCTGTGCCTGTACCTTTAAATGTAAATGAGCTGTGTTTGACCACGCCCCTCTCTGGGAGGGCTTGGGTGGCTCGGGCTTTCAAACTACATGCCCAATTATTGTCAGTAGCAGACTCAGAGGACAGAGCAAACACTTGTAAGATCAGGTCCATTAACCATTTACAAAATTACATTTCTTTCAAATCTGGATCTGTTTCTGCAGATTAATGGTCAGAAGATGTCAGAGGGAAGTAAGGTGGGACTGAAATCTGAAAAAGGAAGAAATGGTTTCAAGGCTGTGTCAAATTACTGTTGAAAATAATCCAGGCTCCTTTGGGGTATCAGAACATGCTATCAAATTACAAAATGATATGTTATAACCTTATTCTGGAAGTGAGCATGATAACAAACTGCCCCCCATTTCCACTTCCAGCAGACAGGAACAACAAATGCATTCAATTTCAAGACGTATCTTTAACCACCCGTCTGTCCCAGTCCAAAATTCTGACTCATTTTCCGCTCTGTTTTGTCTCCTCCAACTTCCAAAGGAAATATATATTTTTTTAAAGCTGTTAAGTATGAACCTCTGTTCTCTAGCTAGCTGCTGACTTTGTCCCTCTTTTGTTTGGTGTCTTAGTTTTTTTTTTGGTTTTTTTTTGCATGACCTGCTGCAATTCAAAAATAAATCTAAAAAGAGGGAAGTGGAAAACTATCATACCGAAACGAAAAGCAATAAAACAATGTACTGTAAAGTTCTGGGAAACTTCTGAGTTAAAAATAACTTTATATCATGAATATGTTTACTTTTTTTGTATTCATGCACACTTATATCTACTTCTCCTTTTTTGGTGTTCATTTCAATCTTCCGCTGCCATCGATTCGCTCTATTCTGTATTTGTTTCCTTTTGTATGTGTGTTTGCTTGTTTTTGTGGTTTTGACTTTCTGACATGAAACATTCCCCTACACAGGCATTACATCATCGATCAATAACCCTCCTTATCCTCCCCCCCCCGTCCTTCTTGCCTGACACTCGTTTTCTTCCTCCTATTCTTTGCATACTGGATCAATATTGACATTGGCTGCTGTGGAGGCCATTCGTTACTGCCAGTCGTCAATCTCAGCTTCCCAATGACACACACACACACACACACACACACACACACACACACACACACACACACACACACACACACACACACACACACACACACACACACACACACACACTCACTCACATACACTACGCTGATGGGATGCACTTGCTTACAAAAGAAGGATAGAGACCACACACAAAAATATATTCAAGTGACTCCTATTATTACACTGCATGTGTGTGAGCGCGTGTGTGTGAGGTTCTACCCTGTGACAATAAATGGATGAGGTCACTGCAAGCCTATGAGGAAGCTCCATTTCAGCAAAACGTGAAATGTATACTAGTAGAGACACATACACACAAAGCAGGAGTAAGAAGCAGAGATGATTCACTCGTCGTTATTCTTATTTAGACTAAGTTTAACTTTAATGTCAGAGAGGTGTTGTAAGGCTTCCTCAGAATGTTGACATGACGTTTTAAAATATTTCCTGGCAAGTTGTGTTTGACATGTTTCAAAATGGGTTATACGCTTATCTGACAAATTTAAAGAAAAAAAAAATCAGATTACCCCAATTTATTACCCCAATGTATGGATTGCAAAATTCAACAGGCCGGCGATTTCTCTTTTTCCAGTACTCTTGCTCAGCTGAATAACTGTCACTTGGCTAGATCACACAGACTAGTGTTGAAGTCAAGACCACACTTACAGAGACCGAGACATACCCCAGACCAGAGTGGTCCGAGACCAGACCAAGACATTTAGGGATCGAGACCATAAGTATCACTGAAAAATCCTCATTCTGTGTTCAGGGGGCGTCTCTCATTTAGACCCTAACACTGATAAGGTTGTGGTAACCTGGCCTACAAATGACTTGAAATAATTTATTTTTCCTTCCTTCCTTCTAATCACAGTGATGACGTGGAAATCTAGCCTATGAGTGGTGGTCTTGATGTAAAACCCAGAGTCCACCCAGTTTGAGACCGAGACAAGACCAAAAAATAAAATGCGTTCGATTCCAAGACAAGACTGAGACCTTCAAAAAGTTGTCTATCTCTCAGCATAAAAGAAAATTGCCCATGATAAGGGTCTCTGTAAGAATAGTAGTTCAGTAGTTTCAGCGGGCACATACCTGAAGAGTAAGGCTCCTGTTTCTCGATAAACTCAAACTCATTTCTCTCGTACTTGGCTCTGATCCACTGCTCTCTCAGCAGCCTGGAGGCAGAGAAAAACAAATACAGTCACATCACTCAGACACTCAGATACTGGCCTGATCTGCACACATATTACTAAGTCTTGATCCAGAACAGAAAAAGAAGGAGGGAATGCAATACAATTCCCTTTGTACTCTTGGCTGTGACACTACAAGTATGAACTTAATCTATAAGCAAAGCAATTGGCTGGTTTACAAATGATGCATGGCCAAAACGTGGTGTTTTTATAGCTTCGACTGGTAGAATGAGTACTTACTTGCAGTCTGTGTGTGTTGGTCTGTAGTAGAAAGCGGGGACCTTCTGCTCATATTTGGCCTTGGCTGCTGTGTTTCCGAGAGCAGCCACCAGCTGAAAGAGAGACAGGACAACGCCACCTGGTCACAGTCACATCTAATTTTATATCATCTAACAGGTGAGATATTGTAGTGCAAGCAGGGGCGTGTCCAGATGGGTGGACAGGGGTGGCATGGGCCCCCACCTAGAAATCTTATTGGCCACCCGACAATCCTAAACTGTGATTGACTATTTGCCCTGTTGTGTTAAAACCAACTATTAGGTCTTTTTTTTGAAAGGCTGCTAGTAATTTTCTTTACATATTAATGCCAAAAGCCACCCCTGCATAAATCAAGGCCCCAGTTAGGCCACCCCAGTCAAAAGAGTCCGGACACGCCCCTGAGTGAAAGTACATTTTAGATTTTAGAACAAATCAACCATGTGTGATTCTGTCTACACCATGCTGCTAGTAAATACATTGAAGTTGTAAAGATATATGTTTTCAAAGTACGAGATTTTAGAATATGTTTTGACCTCACTTGGATTTCAAATAAAACCACAGCAAGTAAAAGTAAAAACATCTTATCCTTTGAAACCTGAAACTTAATGCTATCCACAAACACTATCAGGAAATGCACATGACAGCAGTCAAGGAATTTGAACAAAATAAGATCGTCAGAATGAAAATTAAATAACATGTTATTATAATCATAAATGACGGCAACAGATGATATGCTAAATCTGAACTGTGATAGAAGTGGACAAAAAGGCCCCATCAATGCTATGGGATTTATAGGTAACTGGTAACACTGCAGTGGGAGTTGTCTGGCTTCTGCTCTTGTTCCCTCCATTGTGTGTTACATTAAAGAATAATCCCTGACTCCAATCCAGCAGGCTGAATCCCTCAACACATCTCCACTGTCCTCTGCCTGCTTTGGGAAAAGACGTAGTGTTATTATTTTAATTTTAAAGGTAAAATAGCGGCAACAAATTATTTTTATGTTTGTACCATCTATTTATAACTGTACTCCAGATTGATTTTTGACTGATTGATATATTGATTAAACGTTTAAGATGTTTGATAATACCTTTTCAAGAGATTAGGAAATTCATTAGATCATTTTTTATGACTTTTTCCAAATCTCTTACACCTCTGATTGAAGGTTCTTTACCCAGTTTGAATATTGAATGCTTCACAAGCTGAACATTTTTTAGCAGTAATTCAGATTATTTAATATTAGAGCCCGACCGATTAATCGGCCAGCTGATAACATCAACCGATATTAGCCTATCCAGTGACTATTCTATAGGCTAATTTTAGATATGCAGATATGTGTCGATACTACTTGATTTATTCACCAGTCAAATTGTATTTCATTTGAGTATCATAGTAACCCAGCTTTCACCAGCAGAGTGAGCTGTATGTATTACAACAAGCATTATTACTCTACAGAGTGTCGAGCGGTGACACACGTATGCACAGTTACTTTCCAGTTCAGTGACCATCTTGTCTTCATTATACTGTATATCTTTCTCTTCAGATCAAACATAGATCTAAGAAAGATATCGGTCGATATATCGGTATCAGATCGGTATCGGCCCCAAGAATTCCATATCGGTCGGGCCTATTTTAATATAACTTTTATGTAGCCATAATCAAACAAACTTTATTTGTATAGCACTTTTCATACAGCGTTGTATCACAAAGTGCTTTACATAAAAACAAATCAAATAGCAACAACATGACTCCCTCCCCCACCCTTACCCCACAATCCAAGAACTAAGGTAAGAAATGACTAGATAAAAAACAGGTACTGACGGACTGAGGAAACATTATCATTAATTCTTAAAAAAATAAGCGAGATAAAACTAGATTCAGTTAAAAGCCAGACCATAAAGGTTGGTCTTGAGTTTGCTTTTAAAGTTATTTACATTGTGTTCTGCCCTCAGGTCTCCAGGTTAACTGTTCCACAGACGTGGTAATAAAAGATGTCCGTAGGTTTTAGTTTGGACACTTGGAACAACTAAAAGACCACTTCCAGAAGACCTGAGGGCTCTGGTGGGCTCATAAGTTAAAAGCAAATGTGATAAATAGGTGGGAGCAAGACCATTAAGAGCTTTAAAAACCAATACAATAATTGTAAAATCAATTCTAAAACATAACAGCCTACACATTAGTTAGGTCCATGTAGAACACTATAGGCATCTTGATAAACTGAACTGTTGTAGCTTTAAGACAAATGTTGATCCTCTGACTATTGGAGTTAATTGGAGAGGGGCCACAGCAGCTCCTGAAGTCTCAAGAATAAACTCTGGCATCCAAGAATCAACCCTTAACTCTTCCAATAAAACCATTACGTAAGGGGAGATTAAAAACAGACTCACTGCCAGTTTTACCCAGAGCAGAAAAAAATCCATTCATCCCCATTTACCACCTTCCTACCCGCCCGTTAAGTTCAAATCCCCATTGCACCCCAATTAGTGCCCTCCCACATCTTCTACTTTGTCTAATGACTCATCTCAGCTTCACCTCCCACGTAGTCCTGTTTGTCACCCAGCGATGGTGTTAGGTACTGACTGGATTAATCCGAGGGGCAACTTGAAAGTAGAAAAAGACATTTTCGCCCTACAAATGGCAATCGCACAAAATGTGTTTCTGTGTTACAGAACTCATATTTCTTGCTGACATATTTCTGCTAGGGACATGTTAGAAAGGTAACACCAGTTTGTATCTTTGAACACATATTAGGAAAGTCCAAGTCCAACAAATGAAATGAAATGTTATTGATCACTACATGAGGTCAGACGTCAGGTCAGCAAAACTGACTTTTCAAGAACAGATAAGAACTCATTTTCCAGCAAAAGTATAACAAATAACAGCTAAGCATAAAAAACAAAATCAAATAATGTTCAACTATTTGATAGAAGCCATAGATTACCGCTGACATTTCATTTCTGTTCTAGTCCTTTGTTTCCCAGTTTCCAATCACAGCGACCTCCCATGTGTACACGCTGAACATGAGCCAGCAGTCGGGTGGGTGAGAAATGCACCTACAGCATGTCAGCAAACAAAGCTGCTTCCAGTTTCAACAATCCATCACATCGCCTTAAAATCAGCATGTTTCCCAGCACTGCTTTGTTTTCAGTTACATTATCGAGAAAATGTCTCCTGGCTGGCTTGTTACTATAGAAACAAAAACACAACGGGCCAAATCAAGTCTCGGTATTACCATGAGCTCCTTATTTAATATTTATTGTCCATATTTTATGCCAATTCATACACTTCACACATAACTAAATATGCACAATTACTAACTGCTGCACCCAATGAGCATGTAAACTGACTTTGGAGACATTTCAGGTAATTATATTTATAGAATCATTTGTGCAAATTGAAGTGTTCTCATCTGAACAGTTTTAACACATGCACTCGTGAAAATATCTAGTTAATTTCAGGAGGACTGCTGTGGATATTCTCCTGACCTGGCTGTTCATATATGCTCCTCACAGCAGGAGACTATCCCTGCCAGACAGGAGAGGGGGGGGGCTCCAGGAGTCTCCTTAGGTAAGACGCAATGTAAAAAAACGGTTCGAATCCGACCTCAGCCTTTTGCTGCATGTCATCCCTCTCTCTCACCTCCGAACATTTCCTGTCTCTCTTCACCTGTCTTATACAATAAAGGCAAATATGGCTCAAAAATAAATAAATAAACCGGGGTAAACATGGTAAACATGTTAATTTTTCTACAGTTAAGTGGTGTGTTTGTGACTTCCTGTCTCTTGGAGCCAGCCTCAAGCAGACCCTCGACGAACTGCAGGATTTTACAGCTTTGATTTTCAAGACTGGAGGTTGCTGCTTGATCTTACATCAGATAGTTCCCTCTTCATTCCCCTTACAGTACAGAGCTGCTCTGATGATTCACCGCCAGCAGGATGACTCTAAATACTTTTACACTTTTTTTTTTCATCTCTTGACTTCGCTTTTTTTTACTACAGCACTTGCAGTCCAGTGGTGTGAAATTCTACTTTTTCACACTCTGCTAATTTTGGAACCAAAAAGGGGAACATAAGAGACTACTGTTTTATGTTGATGACAAAACCACAAACTATCAACCCCTACCCCAATGATGTTGAAACAGCTTGTGCAGTAAAAATAGAGACTGTTCATTTTGGATTATTGCTGCAGTATAAATGTGTTAAGTATGCTTCCTCCTACCTCCACATCACTTGCGTCCCATGTTTCCTGGATGGACTTGACCCGGCTGATGTGGGGAATGCTCCGATGCAGGAGTGAGCAGGCCTGGCAAACAAACACACCTAAAGTCAGCGACGCCCAGTCCGGCTCTGCGGAGGGAAAAGGAGGAGACAAAAGAGAATGTGGAACAGGAGGCGTAAAAGGGCGGGAAAGTTAGTTTGGGAGGAAACACAAAAGGAGAGGGAAAGAAATCGAGCAAAGCAGTGCATCAGAAGGAGATAGAGGCTTGACAGAGCAGCAACAACAGGAGCATCAGCGCAGGGTTCAGGCTATAATAACTAAAAGTGCTGATGGTGGCGCTGTCAGGAGGTAATAGAAGCAAAGTAAATAAAACAAATATTTCAAGGGAGTTTCTGCTCTCATGAACGTGGGGGAACAAGACAGCAAAAATGTGATTTAGGGGAAAAGCTGCAAAGCCAGGAAACAGACATCCTGGGATCTGATCACAACTAACCACACACACACACACACACACACACACACACGCACTCAGAGCTGGAGAAATTAACAGCTTTGCCCAGAAAGAACATGAAAAAAAGGAAGACCAGAGAGGCTTTCTCTATCAAATGTGACACGGCAGAATCATCCGTGGGTGTTCAGCAAGGATACATTGAGTCACTCAGTCACACATACACTTTGAGTCTGTTCATGCTAATAACGTTAGAGTGTGCCAGAGACAGTTCAAGGTTGTATTGAGAAGTAGGCTAAGTGTTTCAGGTGTGTGTTTAGGGGAGGGTGTGAATGAAGTATGGCCGTTTTGCACCTAAAGGTAGAGATAATCTGAAAGAAGAAATGAAAACTCATCAGGCATAGAATGGAGTCGTTGTCAGAGCACAAAGATTTAAGTGATGCTGACATACAGACAGAATATCAGTGGACTAGGAACAATAAGTTTATGCCTTGGTAGTGTGAATTTGATCATATCAAAAAGAAAGTAAGCATCTCCTCTTTAAGCTACTCAACGGTTGATTGTGATACTTTTCCGAGTGTATCAGTAGGCGTATAGTGTTAGATATTCTATCCACAGTCTCTTTAGATAACCAGGAAGAGATTTGCCTCATTGTTGAGACCACAACCAAACCGAGTGCTACCGTTCTTCCTTCATCCACACATCTTGCTCTGCCAGAAAGTGTTGGTAACAGTTCAGGACCAAGGACAGCGCAGGCTAAAACACCACAGTTTACTTTATTATAAAAAAAACCCCAAACATCTGGAGCCTTTATTTCTTACATTAAGATTGAAGGACTGCCAGATCTTAACACTTAAATTGATCTTTTCTTGTCACACTTGAAAAATGAACAAAATTCAAAGCAAAAGTATATGCAACATATTTGTCCGTCCAAGCGTTGTGTGATTCTCTCCTGGCAGAAGTCCAGGATGATAAATTATTGAGTTGACTTCAAACGACTTGCTGAATACAAGTTAATGCCCAGTTTCAGATCCCTCCTGCTGGTTTTACTTTAATACTGATACTACTGCATCCATGAAAAACTGGGACATGTTGCTGCAGGAGCCCGGGATCGAACCCTCGATCTTCCAGTTAAGAGTCCTAGTATTATACCTCTGCTTGTTAACGTATTGAAATAAGCATTTAACTCAAGGCCCTTCCTTTGCCTCGGTGCTTAGTTTAAGTGTCACTAAAGACAGCTTTGTAGCTAAATTAAGTGATGACATCATATAAGCCATCATTCTGTGTTTTATTAGATTTACTTGGAACAAATATAGAATTTGAAATGGTTATTTGAGTTGACACATCAAACAAACACATCATACATTTTCAACCAAAACGTGGACTGACTTGTGCAGGGGTGGCCGAAGGTTTGTGGGCACACACATGAATACAGAGCATTTATTTACACCTGTCTACAATAATCACATCAAATGGGAAAGTATGAGCTGCGAAGTAAAAGTGCTTTATTTATTATTTATGTATTTTTTTAGGATCCCCAGTTGTACCGAGAGCTAAGCTATTCTTCCTGGGTTCTAGTTTTCTGGCTTTAAACAGTCCGACAACCAGAAAAGCACTATACAAGCTAATAATAGCAACATATACATGAAAAAAGATATGTCTAAAGTCTTAAGTATTTTAAAAATGTGTTTAAATTGCAAACAAACATCTTCACACTGAAAACTATGAGCTGCATTTTACAACACTGCCTGCATAGTGGATTTCAACATAAGCCTCTAATATCATCCCACCACGTTTTCTCTCCCTCTCACCCTCTATTGAAGCTGCCATTTTCACACAAGGAGGCCTCAGTGTGGTGCACCATGTGAACACACACATGCTCACCCAGTGTGCCATGCTTAAGGGTATCATGGGAGAACCAGTGGAGTTAGAGAAAGGGAGGGAAAGGGTGAAAGAAAAAATGTTCTTGAATTTCTCTGTCCTTTTACGGCTGGAGAAAGCGTAGATGGAGATGCCACGGAGCAGCAGAGGACGGGTTCAGAGATGAGGAGGTGATGGAGGAGAGGAAAGGAGGGAAGGCAGTGAGGGTTTTTGCTCTTTCTCAGGCAGAGGGATGATATTAACTCACAAGATACCCGGAGGGTATTACTGAAATCCATTATAATCTCTTTTTCGATTCACCACTTCAAACCCATGACAAGTGGGCGATATTTGTATAAATGTCAACTCATCGTTTAATCTTTATGAATCGTGATGGACCACAAAGCACTTGAGATAGATGCTTGTAGTAATGTGCAGAAATCCAACCTCTCCCTTTTTTTTTTTCTGTTACATGTCCTTTTTCCCTGTAGCATGAACACACACACACACACACACCTACACACACACACACCTACACACAACTCTGCTGACACAAAAACACACACAACCAGCCATCCAGCAATGATGTCATCGCTGTCTGAGCCAGGCCTTACAGAAAAGCAGACAGCAATCAACCAACCACATACTTACAGACGCATGAACACACACACATGCACAGGGCTTCCCCCTCTAAATGTACATTGAAGGCATTTCTCTGCAGAATTGCTGCAGACAATATGTGAACAGGAGGTTTTAAAAAATATCCTGGTTGTCTCCTCGAGGTGCTGCACATCATCTCCCACTCCTAAAGATGCACGTTTTGCAAGATTTACGGGCCTTGTTTTATGGATACACGACAATATTGTGTGTTTTTTTTTTTATCACCACAAAAGCTTGAAGAAAGAAGCGCCTGTGGGGTTGCTGCAGGCCAGATGCAGGAGAATGAAGGAGAGGAACATTTATACAATGACAGCCTCTGTGCCTGTGAGAATTTGCAGACACTTTTCTGCAGATCATTTGTACGTCTGGGCAGTCTATCAGAGCCTTGTGCCGTTGTGGGGTCAGTCAGATATCAGAAGCTGTCTCCCTCTCATGTATCGTGTTGACCTCTTAGGCACCAGCACAGACTTTAGTCGGAGAACATTTGACATATTATTTTGAATCAGTTGTAGTGTGTCTGTATTTGCTTTACGTACTATGAATCAGTCAATCAATCTTTATTTATATAGCGTCAATTCACAACAAATGTTATCTCAAGACACTTTACAAGCAGAGCCGGTCCAGAACGTACTCTTTGTTTCACTTTTTACAGACTCATCATTAATCCATCATTAGCATAGCATTTAGCAACAATTTGCAATTATGGAGGGGAAGAAAAAACTGCCCTTTAAGAGGAGGAAAACGTTGAGTACAAACAGACTCATGTCGAACTGGCATCTACAGAAAGTGTGGAAAGATGGAGACGAATAGAGACAGAAAAAGTCAGCAAACTAAACGAACATAACTTATTTAGGTGCTGAGTGGTAAAAAAAAAAAAATCACTATTAGGGCTTTCACACTTGCAGAAAACTGCTGAAAAACTCCTGGTAGTTGCAGGTGCAGCTGTATGTGTGAGCGTATGATGCACAAAGACTCGCATCACTATGGCTCCCAAACGTAGGCCTACTTATTTATTTACTGTATTATGCATTAAAGAACAAAACGTTTCAAGCACGATTGGGCTCTTCCATCAGGTGCTGTACAAAATACAGGTTCAGGTGTTATCTATGAAAATCATGTCCTTTGAGTATTTTTTCTTTTTATGTTTTCCTTTTAAACTGAAAGGCTGTTAGAAGCCAGGACGGACTCTTCAGTGCGTCTGAATCTTTCTCATTTGAGCCGTATCATTCATACAATCTCAAAGATTTCAGCACGCTCAAATTGGACCGTCGGGCTGCCTCATTCATGCTTATCCTCTCGCGGCTGCTGGGCTACAAGCCGGCGAAGAAGAAAAAAAGATTAATTATATTCACAGAGTTGTACAACTTAGACATTATAAACCTACTCTCATCCTCCCACCTCTCTGTGGAAGAAGGTCGTGCATGATCACAAGATTCCAATTAAAGTAAGGCGCACCACTATCAGGCACATACATCTGTAAAGAACAGAACATTTCACCTGATGTGTGGAGTGGTGTTCATGCACAATACAGAATTAACAATCGCAATGTTGGACTATTTAACGTAACAAAAGCACCCCCAACATCTACCCCCATACAGAACGCCTTTTTTTTTTCCTTTGCTAATCTTCTCCTGTACATGTGTAGGTGGTGTTTTCTACAGTAAGCCTGCTTTCTTTCTGCGGTCAGATTTCAGCAGTCATTGTAGATAATGTGTTGTGGAATTATAAAAACAAAAAAGAGGCTGAATCCTCAGTAACTCTTTTTATCTGACACCTATCCCCTGGCAGCTGTTACAGGCATTAAAAACGTCAATGAAGAAATAGTCAATCTTCTCACCAACGGTCCGGTTTGCTTTTGCAGGTCATAAAAAGGAATCGCTTTAAATTGCAGTCTGTTTTATAAAACTGCTCACAGGGGATTAAAAATCATTGAAGAACAGTCTGGAAGGCAGTGAGGGGGCTGCCATGCCGTACCCCCCCCCCCCCCCCTCCCTTCCCTACGCCTCCTCCATGTCATTATCGTTTCTGCTATTCAACAAACACCGTCCCTCGTATCTTCAGAGGACTGCTGAGACTTCTCTCAGGAGGGGATGACTGGTGTGCGCGTCCTTAGCGAAGGGCAGAACCTCAGTGCTGCTGAGCTAAAGAGAACGGCCTGCTGTATAAGCTCCCAGCTCAGCCTCTTGGCGGTCTCATCTGAGCACACCAGCAGGAGAGAAAAATA